CGATCCAAGCCTCTGGATCGATCCAGACAGTGGTGTTTCAGCCACTGTTCATCATCTTCTTCGTTCGGGTCCAATTTCGGAAATATCGTTTTTAGTTATCGAACTTCAACGAAACTATATAGAGATGTTTTCCAAGGTTCATAGATCATTTTGGCATCATTAATTCATAGTTTTAACATCAATTTCATGGTTTATGATTCTTGGTTCTTCAAGCATGTCAAACACAAAACTCAACCAAACGACCGTTTATAAATGTAGAAACGATCTATATGAGCATTCTAGTCACTAGATATATCTACGGGCTTACTTTGAAGTGAAACGATGATTCCGGCGGAAAAACGGCGAAACTTCCGGCGAACACCATGGCTTGCTCTGGCGACCTCAACTTCTCCGGACAGCACCATCGCACTCCTCACTTTCTCAAGAACAGAATAGAAAGAATAATGGAGAGAATTGATGAAGAATTGAGGGAGAGGATACATGCTTATATAGTGTAAAGAGAAAGTAGAAAACAATGAGGTTTCGTGTTTCTCTTCGTCATTTACACGATCGTGGGAGGGCGGCTCTGTTATTCTCACGACTCTTCCCCGATTGGGACTAATTTAGTCCCAATTGGGGTACACTTTTTGGTCCAACTTTCTCCAAATTGAAATCCGTTTGCACCGTTGCGATCAGACAGTCGAGCTCTATCCAACGATATACTTTTCATAATTATTTGTAATACTTTTTCCGACATCATATTTTTGGGTGTTTGACTTTAACAGAGTCAAATTTGGTTTAATTGACCTTTCTTATAAAAGGTTCTCTCAATTAATTCATATCAATTATTCTCATGATTTATTTCAATAAATCATTACAAAGTTCACATCATAATTAATTAATTTATTTATCCTTGATTTGGGTCTGTACTCAGGTTCCCAATCAAGACCGCACAAATAGTCCACATATTGGATTTATCTCGATTAGACTTATCCAGATTTTGATATTGGATATTTAAAAAATATTTCATATCGGCCCAAAGCCCAATAATAATCAAAAAAAATTTGTTTAATCGAATAATTATTTAATAATAATTCTAGGGTATGTTTCGGGGCGTTGCACACCTCTAGAATCTGCCCTTATATATCCATAGCCTTTCCTAAGCTTGGGTACATCATTTGGTATCAGAGCTATTTGTTACTCATCTCTCAAGGACCAAACCCACTTCCCCAACTCCCTCCCTAAATTCGGCCTACTACATTCAAACCCTACTCCCATTTCATCCCTTTTTTCTATCAACCATGTCAAACCAATCCTGAAGCATGTCTCATGAAGAACTCTTAGCCGCAAACGCTGCCTTGGAAGCTCTAGTGGAATACCTAGCCTAAGAAGTGGCTAAGCTCGCAAAGCAAAAGATGTCCATGTTACGAGATAGTGAAGATGAAGAGGAAGCTATCTCTAGTGCCACCATGAGAGCTAGGGCTCATGAAAAGTCCCATGCTGACTTCAAAGTTGATATTCCAATCTTTGAAGGAAAGAATGATCCAGATGAAATTCTTGAGTGGTTAGAAACGGTGGAACGAGTCTTTGATTTCAAGGAAATCTCTGATGAGAAGAAGGTCAAGATCATGTCCATAAAGTTCCGAAAGTACGCGTTATATCCGGAATCACCGCATCCAAGCTGCGAGACATATTTCAAATGTTCAAGCAAACGAAGGAAGCCATGGCTGAGGACTTTGCTCCTTTTTGGGTGGTAACCAGCCTTGAACTACAAGGCCCAGCCATAACCCCTTGGAGCCCCCATTTTGTTGAAACACGGGCTTGTCACGTTTTCGTACTAAAGCCGTGTTCGTTTTTGTAACAGGTTTTGATAATGCCAAACCGCCGTGATCAAATCGAACATTGAATATACAAGGCGAAGAACGAAGATAAGAGCAAGAGCTAAACGAAGACCAAGAACGAAGACCTTAATCATAGTATTGAGTCGGTCTTTATTGTGATCAAGACCGACCCAATCTTTACACTTTGGCTCTTTAGGCTAAAAGCTCTCATTGCATTTCTTACATCATAAAAATGGTTTTAAACTTGTTTAAGTCATTAAAAACACTTGGTGTTCGCCCAAACCAAAAACCAAGCCATCCAGTGTTCGGCTTTCAGAAACCAGTGTTCGGCTTTCAGAAACCAGCGTTCGGCTTTCGGTTGTCGGGTTTGGTTTTTGGCATCTGAACCAACCAAGTGGTTTTCAGCATTTTATGATCTGCTTTCACTCTTTGGCATGTCTAAACGGTTCTCCAACAAAAACACTTTGAAAACCATCTCTCGCATTTAGTCGTTTGACAAAAACCACGCAAAACGGCGTAAACTTGGCTAGCCGTGGTTTTTACTCAAATGACGTGATTTTTAAAGTGTCTCACTTGATTTCTTAGCCAAATACATCAAATAAGTGTTTTAAATACTTGGTTTTTATTTTGGAGAACTTTGGATTTTTCGGTCGGTTTTTGCATCGGTTGGCTAGGCCGTGGTTAAGGCAAAAACCATAGGTTTTTGGCTAACCACCTACCCAGCGATGGGAAGAACATCCCATCGATGGGTAAGTAGCCCCTTAGCCAAACCAACTTCAAGAACCATGCCAAACAACGATGGGAAGCTCTACCCATCGCTGTTCAAGCCTTGGTCCAATATTATCACAAGGCAGAATGCCCTTACCCAGCGATGGGAAGGTTTACCCATCGATGGGAACCCAGCGATGGGAAGGCTTAACCATCGATGGGAGGGCATGACCGTTGGGAGTCATTTAAGGCTGATTCTTTCCTTATTTGAAAGTCAACCTCCCACCCAGCGATGGGAAGCATTTACCCATCGATGGGTAGGTAACCGTTGGCTTCAAAACTGAAGGAAAATTGGCTTACCAGCGATAGGTAAGTTCCAAACATCGATGGGAAGCCAATATCCTGCAGATCCCAAATTTATTCAATCCCATAAATCAAGCCAATCACCCCTTTAATGTATTGGTCCGTTGGAGCCTATCTTGGCACTATAAAAAGGGGTGTTTGGGTCTGCTTTTTCTCACCAATTCACTTCACAACATCTATACTTTCATTGCATTCAAATATCATCATTTTTTCATAGCTTTCTAGAGCCATTTTTGTGTGAAGGTTGAGTTGTTCTCGAGCGTACGTAGTTTACTCATAATCTACTCTATAAGAGAGTTTCGTTCTTGAGTGTACTTGTGTTCTTAGACACGTCGAGAGATAGTACCTCTCTCGGTTGATTCAAAGGAAGGATTGTTTCCTTTGAAGGATTCGTTGAGGTTCGTGTAACTCGAACTCTCAAGTTGTAACGGTTTGTTAAGCACCCCCGCAAGCTTAACGAGATAGTAGTGTAGCTCGAGAGAGTCTCTCGGGAGGCTGGATTAGCCACAAGTTGTGGTGAACCAGGGTAAAATTCGGTGTGCCTTTTTCTCTTCCCTTTACTTCCATTTTAATTTTTTAATTCCTGCGATTTCTCCGATCAAACGCTATTCACCCCCCCTCTAGCGTTGGTCTATTATTCTAACAATTGGTATCAGAGCCTAACTCGCGTCCAAACTTAACCGTTTGAGGGTAAGCGATCATGGGTTCTTCTTCTAGAAATCTCTATGCAGGAATTGGAGAAGGTCAGTCTACGTCTAGGCCACCACTCTTTGATGGCACCAACTATTCCTACTGGAAGGAACGAATGAGAATCTACATCCGTTCCACCAACTTCCAATTATGGTTGGTCATCAAAAATGGAGAACAAATTCCAATGAAGAAAGTAGGAGAAACCACGGTCCCAAAGACCGAGGACGAATTTGATGCCGA